TAAACATTTTTTACAACCAAATGAATTTATGATAATTTGTGATTTCTCTGAAAATATGCATTTATAATCCAAGATGCTTTCAATGATTCCACTGGAATAATAATCAAGCCACTATCCATATTATGATAGCATATTATAATAATAATGGCAATATAGAAAACCTCAACATAATGTTATTGCAGTATATTTATACCAGACTAAAATGATAAAATTTTTGACCAATCAATTCAGCAAAAAGCCAAACAAAATATATTACAGCTCTGACGGATCAGCTGCACAATATAAAAAAAGAATTTTTTTTTATAAATCTGTGTTATCATGAATCAGATTTTGGTGTAGCAGCTGAATGACATTTTTCAGCTACATCCCATGGAAAAGGTCCATGTGATGGCCTTGGCGAGACATTAAAAAGATTAGCAGCACGTTCAAGCCTTTAGCACATCATTTCTGGACACATTTTCGCCAGTTGATTTATATCAATTTGCAAAAAAACATGCCATAAATTTTACTTAAACCAACAAACAATACAATTTAGAAGAGATTAAACTACTAGAAAGATTCAATTTAGCTCGTCCCATTCCAGGAACTCGGGAAATACACGCAGTATTTCCTTTGAGTTTAAGTAAACTTAAGTCAAAAATATATTCATATGCAGAGGAATTTCAAATTAACAATATCTCAAATGCCAATCTTTTGCCAATATTAAAGGATTTGTAACATGTGTTTATGACGATTTTTGATGGTTAGCCACAATACTAAAAAAGAATGAAATTACTAAGGAGATATATATTTCCTTTTTACATCCCCATGGACCATCACTATCCTTCTTTTACCCCATAATTGCGGAAATGATATGGTTACCTATTAATCAAATAATAACAATAGTAGATCCTATTACAGTGACAAGACTTACCTACAAATTATCGTCTCAAGAAATTCTATTAATAAGCACAAAATGGGATAAGATTAAAACAAGAGGTATTTATTTTTATATTGTTTGTGTATAAAATTATAAAATATGTTTATTTTACAATATAGCCTCCTAATAAAATCATATCTGCATGGGTTGCCTGCTTACATATCGCCCCAGGACATTATTCTTGGTTTTACTCAATTTATTTTTTAATTTTAATCACATTACTATTCATAATTTTATTAAAAATTATATTATAAAAAAAATTAATATAACGTCATCTATATTGATTTTTAAAATTCAAATAAAATTAAAAAATCAAAAATGGCTATCGAGATTTTTTATTAAATCGTTTAATATAAAGGTAATAAACATTTTAAGTGAATATTAACACCCCAAAAAAATCTCTTCCTAACAATGTTAATTTTTTAACCGGAAATAAGAAAACACTTGAAATTTTTTAATTTTTTTTATATATTCCAAAGTAAAATTTTAAGGGCTATAAAATGATCTATAATTTGTAACTCTAACTTAATTTTTTAAAATAACAAGATTTAATGAAATCACACACTTGCGATTTTCGACTTTGAAGGCATATATCTTTGAATCTGGTTGAGCTAGCACTTTAAAATTTTGATTAAGATAAAATATAGATCCTTGTTAATTAATGAAATATTTTTAATTTTTGGAAGGTAATTATTTTGCATAATTTTTATTTATTATAAGCCCCTTTTTAATAAAAACAATAAACAACTAAAAATAAAAATATACAAAAATGTTGGGTAATTTTTTTTACATTAATTTATTTTATTAAAATAGATTTTTTAAACGGGTTAGAATAAACCGCTTTTATTTTTGCAGGGTTTGACTTCGAGTTCCGGTCATATACTTTATAAATTTTAATTTATAAATGGCGCCTTCCTTCACACCTTTTTATGCGAGTTATTATGAGAAAGAGAAATGATCAAAATTAAATAAAAACTGTGAATAAAAATAAAACAAAGAATATTGGCTGATCTGATATTTTTTCTAAACGTCCAATATCGTCACTGATTTGATATTTAACATTACAGCCCTATTATTAATTAACACCTAACGTTTCCATCAATAATTTGGGCGGCAAACGAATATCTACAAAAATTAATACAAATAATAATGGCTAAAGATAAAGATGGCATGATGTACTAATATTTTAATCTGTCATTTTACATCAAATCGATCCTGAATTTTGAACGCTTGAGATTTGGTTGCAATTTGTATACAAACTAAGGCAGCTTTCAAATTTTAGCATCTTAACTCTTATATTTTTATAAATATCACAAGGATCAAAATATATAAAAAATGGCTCATTTTTGTGATTTTACCAAAAGAAGTTGGGAAATATGATATACCCTGTAATTTACTGTTTTTAGATATTTTCTTGCCAATAATAATTAAATGCATAGATGTGTTATAATAAGAGTATCATATAAAAACTTTTAAATAATATTAGAAAATTAATTAATTACATATTGATTAAAGTGGCAATCGGTAAGCGTAAAAATAAGCTTTTTTTTTAAACTTAGATCCTTTAACTTTAAAAATATATGTCAGGATGTTAAAATTAAACACTGCTTCTGTTATGTGTAGCATAGTCTGTATAAAAAATTGCTCATTTCCAAAGTGTCCCATGAAAATCATGTTTTTTGGATAATTTAAGGTGGTATAATGCAATAAAAAAAATTTCAGAGATGCATGGATGCTACTTTTTTCGTACCAGCATAGTATTGTGTAAACCTGATACCAAAAATTTATCTTATATATAAAAGTTTCTAAACATAGATATATTATATGAGCTTAAGTAAATAAACATTTTACATGCAGATTATTAAAGGAAACATTAAATAATTAAACAATGATAACTTTAAACAATATAATTTTTTTATAAAATTTGATATCTCGTTATTTTAAAAATGTAGTTTCATTTTCTTATTATATATAAAATTTCCATTTTTCTATTTCCCCTATCGTTAATGGTAAACTTAATTAAGGATATCAAATTAATAAATTCAAACTGAGGCAGTTTTTAATTAGTTATTTAATATTAAAAAGAGTAAAAATGGCTAATTTTTGCACCTCCAACCCTTCTCATGTAATACAAAATAAGTTGAAATTTAGTTTTTGTTTCTTTCTAATACACATTTTTTTTTATCAGAATTGAAAGTAAAGAGACGTGATTTGACAATCAATATACTTTTAAAAAGAAAGATATATTATTAAATGTTATAGATAAAATGGCAAAAAAATTTATAAGTAAATATATTTTAGATATTTGGGAGAAAAGTCCAGATTTCGCTTTTGAGATTATTTTTTCTTTAATTTATAAATTTCATTATATATCAAACTCCAACTCATACCAGGCCTGAAATTGCTCCTAAGAAATTTTTCTGGTAGAAATTTTTTAAGAAAAATGATATTATAGCACTTCTTTGACTGGAATAAAATTTCTCCAAGATTGGCACAAAACAAAATATGATTCTAATTTTATTAATTTAAAAATATGTTTAAATTTATATTTTCCAATTAAATATTTAAGGACAGGCTTAAAAATAATTATATTTCAAGGCAAGCTTAATTTTTTTAAGTCAGAAAAATTGAATTTGCACTTATATCCAATCCCAGATAAATTTCTAAAAAAACTCCAAATATTAAATTCTTTTAAATAATCTCGATAACCTGCTCAGGTTTACAGAGGTATTTACCATTTTTAAATTTGCTTTACTTTTATTTAAATTGAGAATTAATAAAATACCCCAGGGTGTTATATAATGGTGCTTACAAATTGAAGTGTTCTCATTTACCCTTTCATCTGGTAATAATGTAATTTTAATGGTAACGTGCAAATTTATAAATGATTTTTGAGTTAAAAATGCAAAATAGTTTGTATTTATATTTTATAATATAATTTTTTTTTATAAAAAATACCACTTTACTTAAACCACAAAAGCGTTTTATAAAACACTAGATGCTAATGAAAGTGTTAAGAACTATATAAGATATAAAACGTTTAAAATTAGGGCTGTGCCAATATTAATTATCGGATCGGCACCAATATTTTGAGTTTTTAAAAAATCGGATCAGGCCGATACCTATAAAAACCCCATCCGATCTTTTTTATTTTATGTTATGTTAAATATAGTTTATTTCACATTATTATAATATTTCGAAAGATTTTTTATTTATTTTTATAAAAATTGAAAGATTCTAAATCCTTTTTTAAAAAATTCTAAATAATTTTTTTAATCTAGATGGCCTGCCATACTTGAAAGAAATCAAGGAATATTTAAGAGAATCTTTATATCAAGAAGGTATAATAACATATATTTCATATCTTATCTAATATTGCTTGGTTGGGTTATGATTGACCCATTTATTTGGGTGGCATTTGATTATTTTTCAAAGTCAACAAAAGGTGGGGATGTATGAACCCACTATTTTAAAAATGTTAATTTTATGTCTGTGTTTATTATGATAACTCTAATAACATTGATATTATATCCCCTATGGATCCACTTGACTATTGAAGAATTAATGCTAAAAAGTATCCAACTTTGTCAAAACTTGCCATTAAATTTTTGGGGCCTCCTGCAACAAGTCTAAGTTTATCTTCAGTATAGCAGGAGATATATATAGTCCACATCTAAAAGCTAATTACCAGAAAATCTAGAAGCTCTAAATTCAATTTTTTAATTATATTTAGTTAAAGAGTGGTAAAAAATCAATATAAATATCGGAAAATATTGGATGAAAGAAAAATGTGGATTTGTACAGCCCTATTTAAAATACATTATATTTGAATGGTTTCTTGTTTCATAGTTTGTAAGAAAAGTAAGTAGTGTTTTACTTTAATAAGAATAAAATATTACTAAAAAATCTACTATAAAATATAATACCTATATATTACATTTTTAATTGAACCATTTTGATTTTCGATATTGTAAAAAAAATCATATAATCTTTTTATCAAAATTTATGATTAAGGTGTTTCACATAAAAATTATGATGCCTTCAATTTACATTGTTCTAATTTTAAAAAATAATACATTACTTTGATCTACTGATAAATCTAGCATCTCATCCAGCGGCTTAAGTACATCGATTATATTAATATAAGGAGTTTGATCTATAAGTTAAATGGAAAGGAAAAAAACGTTATATTTAAATTAATAGCTATAATATTTAAAAATTAAATACCCTTTTTCCTTATGATTTCCAAGTTTATTTGTACTAAGCCATCACCATTAACATTCTGTTCCAACAAGCTTAAATTGGGGTCAAGCTATAAAAAAATTATATTACAATATCTATTGCATATTAAATTGAATCTGGAGGTGGTGCGAGCAATGGCATTAATACTAATCTAGACAATCTATTTATTAAAATGAATTAAAGTGTACAATGAAGTCGGCCACTGAGACATTTAAATACTTTCTTTTATCTACTACTGCCAACAACATTGTTTATAGCTGACTTGAATATATGAATATTTTTAATAAATGAATGAGTCTAGATTATTATTGCTCACTGAGTGTGATGGTCTTAAATTAAGTTAAAACAGAATTGGGCCTAATATTTTTAAAGTTTTGGCAGCATTTGCGAAAATTAAAAAATAAGTCAAATGTGGGAGTTAGGTTTGCAATCAGGGCTTTAACTAATAATTTGCATTTGAGTAAAAGAATAATATATATGGGAGAGGGGGGAGGGGTTAGTTATTTAAAAGTTTTTTATTTATATTATAATAAACCTTTTCTATATCCTGCAAAAGAATGTCGTAATTGGATATGCTTTCCTTAGTTTGGATAGAATCTATCGAATTTCTGATTTGACCTATTGGAGTGGCTATATCAAACTGTATAATGATCATTTTATCCATTCCCCTGAGAAAAAGTAAAAAAAATAAGATAACCTAGTTTAAATAATTCATGTAAATTATGTAATTAAAAAGCAAATTGTCACTCATTTAAAAATATTTTTGCAAAAATTTGTAGTAAAATAATTAATATTTATTTTTATATAAATTGATATGAGTTAATCTTAATACCACTCCCTTCCAAATTATATTTTCATATTCTTGATCTGTCAATTTGGAATTGATTATCCAATAAAAATAAAAACTGTTTATTATAAACAGCTCATAGTTTTATAAGAATAAACCATATTTTATGATACATATATATGTGTTTATAAAAAATTGGGAAGGAACTTGGGGAAAATATTTTTACCCTAGATACCTCAATTTCTATTAAAATGACAGATAAATTTATTATTATAATATAGGTTAAATCATATATATATAAATTTATAAAATAAGGCATGGATCCCCAACATGATTGCAAAGGAATCCCTCAAAACTATTTTGGTGAGAAGTTCTGTTGCTGCCCATTATTTTGGACAATTATGGTATAACCAAAAATCCTTTATAATCATGGAATTAAGTTATATTATATAACAGTGAAGTAAAAGGAAATATCTAATTGAGTAAAGTTAAAGAGTATATAGGATTAAATTAAAAAGATATGGGTTAGGGTTAAGACTGATTAAAAATTTAATCATTTTTATTAATAACTTGTCAAATCTGAAATGTCATGTGATTAAAAATAATTTCCTTGAGTTATAAGCAAATTTGTCTCATATATAAAACTAATGTTAAAATAATTTTTATTTATTTATTGATTGTTTTATTTTAATTAGAATGCTAAAATGTTGTATAAAAGATTTCAAAAACTCATTATTATTACAAAACAAAATTTCAAGTATAATTGATTTGAGATTAGCGAAATATTAAAATAAATAAATAGGTTGTTACTCTTTGTAAACAAAAAATTAAACTTATGGTAATTGCAAAGCTTGCTAATATTTAGTAAGCTTTTACTATTTTCATGAAGGAAAATGTTCGAAAAATATAGTATAAATATATGTACCTTATAAATAATAATGATTAATATTCAAATATTATTAATAATTTTAATTATATATTACATTCAAAAAAAATCTTTATTACCAAATAAAAGTATTCGAATCAATAAAATATAAAGTAAATAAGATTCCGTCAAAAAAAAATTAAAAAATATGTTATTATCGATATGAAATATAACTTACTCTTGGGCAAAATTCATTTTCATCTTTGAAAAAAGAGGAAAGAAATAAAATAATGAATGAATGGAGATATTAAATTAAAAAATGTGATCGAATAATTTTTTTATTTTATCATAATCTAGTTTTAGATGTGGATCAATGATATATATCATTGATGTGGATGTAATTATGGAAAAGTATACTATTATTTTTTAATAATATTTTAATATTTTAAAGAATTACTTACTTGTTTTAATTTAATCTATGATATTAAAATTGATATTAGTTTAACGAAATCTATTGAAGAATATTTTGAATGTTTTATTTCCTACGTTAAAAGCTTTTTTGATAAGATTTAATTGTTGGAAAATTATTGCTAATAATTTGGAATTAAACTGAGATACAGATGTACATCTATGTAAAACCAGTGTTGTAGTATGTATATTATATATGTTGTTAAACGGTCGCCGACTTAGGTAGATTTTTATAAAGAGCCCGATTAAGATTTTAGACAAAATTATCTAAGCCTCGAGGTTTAATAAATAGAATGAAACTTTCTGCCATATATTAGCAAAATCTCCAGTTTAATTAGTTTGGCTATAATCTTAATAGGACCGTTTTAAAAATCGACCTAATCGAATATCTACACTATTGTTGTAATTAACATCTTAAATAAATATTTATATACTGAAGAACATCTAAATAAATAAATCTACATGTATTTTAAAGTTTTAAATAAATATATATAAATATACCTGTCTTTAGCCATGTATTTTACTGACTTTATAGAAAAAAATAAATACATTGGGCAAATAAAGTAATAAGAAACAATAATTCAATAAAGATAATACAATATTTTATTTTATTTTTTTTATATAAACTTTCAATAATTGTAATAGGATTGCCATTTTTTATTATTAGTTATTTTTTTATTAAGTTTGAAATAGATTAATTTTAGAAAGAATTATATTCGGAAAAATTATATTAAATTTTAATATGTTTAAGAATTTTAAGATATTGTCTAATATATAATAAAAGAATTTAATCATTGAATTTTTACCAGGAAAAAGGAAATTTTAATAATACAAGGTAAAAGTATATAAAATAATAATATATATAATTAAGATTTACTGCAGTATAACTACTTAGCCTGTTAACGTTTTTATTAACTTCTAGATTGGTGATTCATTTATTAGAGGCGTTTAAAAGTGTTAATACATAGGAGTCCGCTAAACCTCATTTTGTGGCTTGCACGTCGATTAAATGACATTAATATATATTTATTTAATGATAAATATGACAATTAGTTGATGTGTAATACATAAAATGGCTCTAAGGCCGACTCCTATCTATGGATTCTTTTAATTAATAAATCACCAATCTAATTGTATATATATATATGTCATATCATTTGTTATATATTCAAATTTGTACTGTTATTACAATTCAATTTATTCAAATTATATTTTTATTTTAGTTATAATTTTATTTTATATCTTAACCTTAAACTATATTCTAATTTTAATTTGTAAAAATGTTATATATACCTTATGAAAAGAGAAAGAAAATAGATAATAAAATATATTTTTTATACTCTCCTTAAAATCGTTTTTCTCTTTATGGTGCCCCATTGGCAAAAAAAGACTCGCCACCACGTAAATTTTTTAAAAAAAATTTTTTAATTTCTCTTTGAAATATAAATATGAATAACAAAAAAGAATTATAAAACGAAACAAATAAATTATATAAAGAAGGAAAAAAAAGGTAAAAATCAAAGTTATTTCCATTATGTTTTCATTCAAACTCATTAATATTCCCTGGAAAATTTCTATTTATGATATACTGTTAGAATTAACTTATAATTGATATGAACATTACTCAAGAATACTTGGTAGTGATGACGTCATTTTTGAATTTGTGAGTCTTAAAGATGGTCAACTATTTTGAACAGCTTAATGGGAAGTTTTACATGTATAATGACTCGGAGTTTATTCAACTCCATTGTATTTTTGTAAAAATATAAAGTGTTATAATTTCTAAATATGTATACGAAATATTAATAAAATATGGAAATTAAACTAGAATTAATATATAAAATTCCAAAATTGGTTGGACCACTTACTGAGATTTACTTAGACAAAATATTAAGTTATTTTTCGACCAGCACATTACCGAACTCTATTAAAATAAATACTTTGTTTAATAATTTATCAAACGAGGTCTTGACAATATTAAATCAATTAGCTCTGATACCGACATATTAGATCTTAAGATAGTGACTATAAGGTTAACTTACCTTTTACCTGTACAAGATAAAAACATTTTGATAAACAAATTTAACTTATTACAGAAGAACTCGAGTTAGAATTTCATGCAATGGTACATATGAGTTTCGAAACTACATAAAAAATGAAATTTTTCGGACGTCAGTAGATTAAAAGAAAAATTACGTACATCTACCTTAAATGACAAAATAAAATATAAATTTTGAAAAATATTTAACCTTAAATGAAATGGTAGAGCTAGGAATTAAATTAGATAGTATCTATGATAAATCAGATGTTGATAACATAAATTATATGAATAACGATAAAAAGTCTGATAAAGATAAAAACTTTAACAATAGAAATAGAAATGACAATAATAATTATTTTAGACCTGATAATAATTTTAGAAATAATTATGATAATAGAAATAGAGATAGGAATTAAAACAATAATTTTAGATACAATGACAGGAATTACGGTAATAATAATTCGAGATACCACGATAATTAAAACAACTATAACTACAATACCTATCGCTACCAAATAATAATCAATCTTATTATGGTAGAAATAATACATGGCATGATAATAATCAAAGAAAACAGATCCAATACGGTGACGGAAATCGTAACATATACCAATCTTATAACAACAATTCAAATAATTATAGAGGTAGTGACAATAATCAGAGAAAGAAAATACAATATAACAACAACTCAAATAATTATAGAGGTAGCGACAACAATAATAGAAAGCAAATACAATACAACAACAGTGATTATAATATGAATATTGAAGAAATTATTGAAGAGAAAGTCGACTCTACAAAGAACAAAGATGATAACGATTTTAATGTTAACAACTTATCTGGGGACATGCTCAATGATAAAGATATTGCATTTATGACTACTTTAAAAGTGAACGATATTGTTACATGTATGCAAGTCGACACAGGCTCAAAACATACTATTATTATACCTCATGGTCTGGCTAAAAAACTTGGTATTAAAGATGTTAAGAAATCCGAGTTACAACTTACCGCTTATGACGGAAATTTAATCAAGATCATCGGCATCACTCAAGTTAAAGTGACTTATGAAGGTATCTCAAAATATGTACAAGCGGTAGTCGTTGAATCAAGTAAAAATGCCTTGTGAGGACGTACATGGATCAACGCTTTCACAAATATTTTAAATAAATTTATAGCAAATGTTGACACTAATTACGAAGATGAAATAAAAAAATTGATTAAAGAATGTGAATCTAAATTGACAAATGGGCCAATCAACAAAGCAAGTGTTAAGTTACATTTAAGAAGAGATGCCCAACCTAAAATTATACCGCCTAGATGTATTCCTTATTAAAAAAATTGATCTTGTTTGCAATGAACTTAAAAAATGGATACATGATAAAATTATTGAGCCAGTAAATGATGTCCGATGGCAAGTCCTGTTACCGCTGTCTACAAAGATGATGGGAGCATTAAGCTTTGTGCTGATTTTAAGGACACTGTAAACCCAGCTCTAGAAGATTTCAGATACCCTCTACCACGAATCAATGATCTAATAGCTAAACTTTCAGAAAAAAGAAATTTACGAAGATTGACTTTAAAAATGCTTTCTTACAGATCCCGATTGATAAAAGTTGCAGAAATATTTTAATCAAATCTACGCACAAGGGATATTACCAATTTACTAGACTTCCTTTTGGGCTTAAGACCTCATCTGCAATTTTTCAACAGATCATGGATCAAATCTTCGGTGACATGGATGACGTCATATTTTATATTGATGATTTACTTATAACTGGAAAAAACGATGAAGCCCACCTTAACAACATAAAAAAAGTGTTTGATAGAATATCATCGTATGGGCTAATACCTAACTTCAATAAAAGTGTGTTCTTTAAAAACAAAGTGAGGTTCCTGGGTCATGATATTGACGCCAAGGGATTCATGCTAATCACGACAAAATTGAAGCAATAATTAATATGCCAGAACCAAAATCAGCTGCTGAATTATCAACATTTCTGGGAATGGCTGGCTACTATAGAAAATTTTTGAACAATTTTGCAGAAATAGCCGATCCTCTGTATAAGATTGTCAACAAAGAAAAATGGACTTGGAACCTAGAACACTCTAAAAGTTTTAATTATCTTAAGAAGTTGATTAGTCTTCCACCTGCTTTGACATATTTTAACCCTGAATTACTTATAGGGATAGCCACTGACGCATCAAAATGTGGTTTAGGAGGTGTATTATTTCATACTAAAAAAGATGGTAAAGAAAAACCTATAGCTTTCGCGTCAAGAACTTTATTAAAATCTGAAATGAACTATACCAATATTGAGCGTGAGGCTCTCGCTATTATGTTTGCTAAAAGGAGGTTCCAGGAATACTTAATCGGCACGAAATTTACAATTATTACTGACCATAAACCTCTAGTTCACATCTTTACCAAGGGTCTTAAGGATAATAGCACTATGTCCTTAAGACCCCAGAAGTGGAATATAACATTATGAGGATACGATTTTAATATAAAGTACAAAGCCGGTAAATATAATGTTGTTCCTGATTGTCTCTCGAGATTACCACAAGAATGTCATGATGAAACTATTGAAAATATCACTATAATAAATGAATATGGGGATTTACCTATTAATTTTAATCAAATTCGTGATGAAACTTTGAAAGATATGGAATTAAAACAAGTCATAAATGATATTAATAACAACAGGCCTATTATGAATAATATTTATAAAAACATTGAATTAAAATTAAGTATAATTAAAGATTGCCTTTACAAAAGCAACAGAATCATAATTCCGTCTTCTATGAGAAAAAATATACTACAGTCATTACATGAAGGTCACTTGGGAGCAAGAAAAAATCAAATCCTTAGCCAAAGATTACATGTGGTGGCCTGGTATAAATAATGATATAGGAATGGAAGTGAAATGTTGTGACGATTGTAACATATATCATGATAATCCTATAAAGATACAAAAACCATGGGTTTCGGCAACCAAACCGTTTGAAAGGATACATATAGATTATGCGGGTCCGTTTTTCACAAAAAATTTATTGATAATAGTCGATGCCTACAGCAAATTTCCAATTATTATTCCTGTTAAAAATATTACGACTGATGTTACTTTAAAAGAAATTTTTAAAACTATTTCGCTATATGGAATACCTGAAACTATAGTTACTGATAACGGTACTAACTTAACGAGTAAAGATTTTGAAAAATTTTGCAACAATTATGGTATCAAACATGTGCTCACATCTGCTTATCACCAGCAATCCAATGGCCAGGTAGAACACATGGTGAGAACGTTCAAAACACATATGAAAAGGAATATTAAAATTGTCCTAGACATCGCACTTGGCAAATTTTTATTTAATTACAGAAATACGCGTAATGATACTACAGGAGTTACACCATCTTAGAGAATGTTTAATCGAGATATTAGAATTAAATGGGACTTATTAAAACCGTTGAAGGAGAATAAAATAAACGTTGCTTACCACGAAATAGAACCTTTAACGTAGGAGATTTTGTTTAGTACAAAATACAAGGTGATGATAAATGGTGCAAAGGTATGATCACACATAAAGAAAGTGATATGATGTTCCAAATTAAGACAGAGAAAGGTATTTTGAGGAGACATTTAGATCAAATAAGAATTAGAAACTGTTTTAACACACTTATTAATTATGACTCTAAGGATTCCTTTAAGGAGCGAAGTGTGGACAAAAATATAAAAATTACTGATAATAGCGATATAACACCCATTTCTAGACCTAATTAAACAAAAACCTGTTTATTTAAAAGACTACATAACTTAAAATATAAAATCAATATTAAAATGCTTATAGTAAATTAAATATTAAAACGCTTACACTAAAACGCTTACGCTAAAACGCAAAAAATCAAAACGCTGAAAATATTATATAACAATCTTATTGATTTATCATTCTTCATTTATTCTTATATCCAATTTGATGAACTATTATTTCTCATTAATCACAACTTACTGATGATAATAATAACAACTGAGCATTACAAAGTCACGATTTATAAGGACAATTTACGATAAGGATATCAAGCTTACGATTTAAACAAACCAACGTGCAAAATCGATTTAAACAAACAACGATTGGGACAAGCCAACGATATGATGACTTGTGAAACAACTTGATGAACTAACTAACTACGATAACATAATTAAACTTATGTGAAGGCTTTTTAGAAGGAGAATGTTATATATTCAAATTTGTACTGTTATTACAATTCAATTTATTCAAATTATATTTATATTTTATTTTGTGTCAACCTTTTTAATATTATATTCTAATTTTAATTTGTAAAAATGTTATATATACCTTATGAAAAGAGAAAGAAAATAGATAATAAAATATAGTTTTTATACTCTCCTTAAAATCGGTTTTCTCTTTATCATTTTTTTAAAGAATTGAATAAGTTTTATTGTTCTTGAATATATGAATATCCATATATCCTACTTAAATATTTTAAAAATTTGAAGTTAAAATAATTAATTATTAAAAAAAGTGATTATGGCATGAAAAAAAAACAACAAAAAACACAATATTATTAATATAAAAAAATATATAAAACGCTACAACTAAATGACGAGAAATTCGTATTTGATTATATTAATTCTTCGATATAAATTATTTATTCTATTATCCATTAATTGATCAATTCTTATTTCAATTATTCCAAAATATTAATAATGATAACATGAAAAAATGGTAATAATAATAGAGTATGACAACAAGCTAATTAATAAATAAAACAACGAGGAAACGAGAGATCATTAAAACAAGCCCAAGAAAAAGATATGACTTATGCAACAACAAAGTCAAAAACGTTAAACAATGAATTGGACAAAGCTTAACGATAACTGCTCACTTCAAATTACAGCGAGGAACATTTTAAAAAAAAGTGTGTAATGTTAAATAATAAAATATTAATGAATTAAATTAGTGTTTACTTATTATAACATCATTAAATAGTATTTATAAATTACATTTTACTTCGTTTATACACATACTTTATTTAATATATTTTGAACTATTCGTATATTCATTTTAACTTACACATTCATATGTAGTGAGTTAAAGAATTTTTATATTACTATTTATATTTTTTTATATTTATCATTATTAAAATTTATTGTATATATATATTATGAATTTGATACTTTAAAGAGAGATAAATATTAAAAATAAAATTTATTCACCAACTCCCTACCTACCTCGACATATATATAATATTAGATAATATGTATAAATGATTTGTATGAATAATTGAAAAAACGAATAAATGTAATGAATTTTTTTTTCTAAAGGTAAAAAGTAGAAAAAAATTAAATAAGGAGATCTAATGCATAATTATTATTGCAATAAAAAAATGAATTTGTCTCACTTTCATTTAATTTCTTAAATTTCATTAATCGGTTCCATGCCAATTCAGCGTGGCGTTAATTCGGTGCGTATCTAATACAGCTGTAATTTATTATAAATTTAATAGTATAAAATAAAAGAAATAAAAGTCATTTTGAATGTTTGCATAAATCTCAATTTTATTTTCTAAATGTATAATATCAAAAAAAAATTAATAACCAATATTTATACCGATTTCTTTAGTGGACCAATTTACCACATTATAAGGTATATTAATTAGTAGCCAATATTATGTAAGCCTGGAGATTTTGCGCATAGAGGAAAGAAAGAAAAAGAAAGTTTTGGACCTCTATCTCGAATCTTACATATATTTTGGCTAAAATCTTAATCGACCTTTTTTAAAAATAGACCCAAATCTGCCCGATGTTTAGGCCAATTTTTTCTAATATACGAATTAACGCGCAGTCTTTTTATTTATTATATTATAGGTATTGAAATTATTAATATACCTATTGAAAATATTTTATAAGTTTAAAAAACATATAACTCCCTGATAATATTGAATAACCAAAATTATGTTAAATCTTAAATCCCATTTTCACGCCTAATTTTAGACAACAAAAAAATAACTAAAATTATATTTTAATTTCGGATTTTTTCTTTTTGTTCAATAATTTTAAAGAATTCAATCATTATTTTTCTCAATAAATAAAAATAAAAGTTTATAATATAAATTTTATAATCTAAATTGAATTTCTGTTTAAAGGTATATATTAATAATCTTATTTCTGTATATCATTTATATATTTTTATACTATAGTTTACTTTTATTTTTAAGAATGCCTTTAAATTATGTTGTAAGTGAACGTGGATCAAAACAACTTGTTCATGATCAATATATATTAAGGAAAGAGAGAACTGTAAATCAAAAAACAATATGGAAATGTGTAGTCTTATAAATTATTGGAAGGTAGACCTTCCCGTTCCAAAGGTCGGTGCCACACATTAAATGAAAAAGTAATTCTTTATATAGATAAGCTTAATCATGTGTTAGATGGTGCTGAGGTCTAAACCCCGAATGCCTAAATAACATTAAAAAACATGCCATTGAGGTGACTGATACATCAAAAAATTATAAGCATTGCAATAGCAGGGGGTTCCCCATCCAATGCTGCCCTTCCACTCATCGCGTCAATAAAAAGGACCATTTAGCGGGCTAGATCGTTTATAGGTTCTCCATTACCTAGCCCGACGAACGGTTATAATCTAGATTTACTGGAAAATCTATAGAATAAAATGTTCGGGGCTGACATTCCAGAAAGTCTTTGCAACCAGAACTGCCAAGAATTTTGATATTGGCCACCTCCCAAAACCTTACATTGATGGCGAAAAGAGTCACTGGTATGCAGATGGCACGTTTAAGACAACTCCCATAATTTTTCACCAACTTTGGACCCTTTATGTCTTATATCATAAAACGATTGTATCCACAATTTAAGCGCTATTACCGAAAAAAACCTAGATTACATATAGAAGGGTTTTGAATGAAATAAAAAGATTACAAAATAATCTAAATCCAATATCGGTAATGATCGATTTTGAGCAGGCTGAAATATATGCCAACTGTAAGAGGGTTTTTTTATATGACCCAAGCGATTTGGGGTCACATACAAACTGATAGCGAGTCACTAGCACATTATTTAGTTAGAGATGCAGGAAATGAGTGGGCAATAAAAATTAAACAAATACTTCTTGCATTTGTTCCCGTGAATGGCGTAGTTGATGCCTTTTAAGGACTTTTATATTTATCAAGATAATGGATTGATAAATTTTTCGTTATGGAGATAGACAAGCACTAAGATTTCCAATTCCCCTTTGGAATCAATAAACGGCTACACATTGAAGGGAATCCCAAAAACAAATAATGCAGTCGAAGGTAATTTTTTTTAAAATTTGCTATCTTTTTAATCATTATTACTCATTTTTTATAATTTACTTTGCAGTTATTTTCTAAAGGTTGGCACAGAGCATTCTCATCTCTACAATCATCGCACCATCACTCTATTTGGAAATTTTTAGATGCTCTACGTTTAGAACAATCGTTAACCGAAGCAAAAATTGAACAATATATTTCTGGTACGCAACCCCCAAGATCAAGAAAGATGTCAGGATACAGCTGAAAATATTATAATAATTGTATCTGACTATGATCGCCCGATTAATAATTATTTAAGGGGGATCGCATATAATTTTAATCTACAAATATAATAATGTAATCTATTTTTTTTTATTATATAGTATTTATATTTTCTAAAGTCATTCTATAAATAAATAAAAAAAATTGTGCGTTAATTCGTTTTTGATTATTTTATAATAGAACAAAAATAGCCTAAACATAATATATATATTTTTTAAATGATTAATAGAATTATTTTAAGGATTTTTAATAAATCTAAAAAATGAGTCAGTCTTAATTTGAATTTTTTTGGATCAACATTAGTGTTGTTAAACGGCTATGGGTCCATTTTGAAAAACGGTCTTATAAGATTCTAGCTAAAATAATATAGATTCGAGATAGTGATCCAAATATTTCTTACATATATGCACAAAATCTCCAGGCTTATAATATTTAGCTACTAATCAACATACCTTATATTGGTTGTTAATTTTTTTGATATTATTAATTTTTATTGATATTACATATTTAGTAAATAAAATTGAGATTGTAAAAATATGAAGAAATAATTAATAGGACCAACATTCAAAATGACTTTTATTTAATCATCTTTATTTTTTATACTAATAAATTTATAATAAATTGCAACTGTATTAGATACGCCCCGAAATGTCGCCGCGCTGAATTTACGCCGTGCCGAATTTCCCGCTCCGAATTGGCGTGATACCAAAAAAATCAGAACCAGAACCTAAAATCACAAGCTTATCTGATGCATGTCTAAATCTTAAAATATTCATTTTTTTCAATAAATTTATACATAATAGTAAAATTTTATTTATTGCATTACTATAATAATGATACTAAACTATAACACATACTACTTATATACTTACATAAATGAAACAAGATATGTGATTTAAAATATTCTATACATATGAATAACATATATTAAACTATCAATACTTACATAAATGAAACAAGATATGTGATTTAAAATATTCTATACATATGAATAACATATATTAAACTATCAATACCTTTTATATACTATTTTTATTTTAAAATTAATATTGCGCAAATATTTTCCTCTTTGATGATGATATTACGATTTATATATTTTTTATTCTTATAGCATTGATTCAAATGCGATAGTGTTCATGTAGTATGAGTGTCGAATAGATCCATCCCACTAAATATTAGAATAAAACAAAAAAATGCATAGTTGCTTTATTACAGCAATATCCTAATTTAACTTTTTGGTCGAAATTGAGTTAGTCAAAATCTTATTCATATGGGATCTTCTCAAACCCTTTATATTATAAAATACCCATAAGGATTCATATTAAAATTGTTTGCTATGTAATAAATTATAGTTCTTAATGTTAATTAACTATGTAGTCTAAGTTTTTTCAACTTTTTAAAAAAATGTATCTGTCAAATTAACTTTTAATAAGAAAAAGAGAGGTAACTTCTTGCAATTTATTCTTCAAAATTATACCAATTTTATCCTTAAGAAAATATGTCTTACAGATGCACTAAAGAAATCGGGTGTAAAAGGATGCCAGAACACATCTCTTACACAATCGGTATGTCCCATTATAGTTGCTATTAAATTTCCGGTTTGCAGGTCGTAAACTGATAATTAAAGATAAACGAGATATATTATAAGTTAATCTCAAATATTTTTATTGTAATTTAAAATTCTTTAAAAAAATTAATGAATTAAGACTCGCTATTTTCCCAGTGGAGCAACCAGTGACTATAAATCGTTGATCGGTCGTGTGGATAGGTGAGAAACGACAACGGATTAAAGTGTATAATATCGAATGACCCCCCGAATAAGTCATCACAGATGAATCGCCTTTTAACTTTTTAATCGTTTTCACTTATAAAAAAAATAATAAAAATTATTATAAAATAAAAATGAAAATATATTTTATTTAGGGTGTTGAACCTGACTCAGGAATTCTCTCCCATCTGTAATCCCAATCTTGATTCGAAACTGCTTTCAAAGCTTCCTAAAAATTACGTACAAATTTATTTTTTTTATTTAATTCTATTTTTATTAAGCATTAAATTAAACCCTTTTCTTCAGAGTAGGCATAAGATGTTATTGTTACTAAAAAAATTTATTATTCTTTTTTTCTAATATAAATTAAAATTGAATACTTTTCAATGCTCAATTCAAATTGTTAGTTAAATATGAAATGAATAAACGAGCCTTATTTAAAGACTTGCACTTAAAAAAAAATCTTTTCATAATATTATGATTATTTAAAAGGATGTAATATGTTTTTTGTAATTATACCTCTTGACCAGATCTTCCTGAGAATTTTCTAGCGTCCCATAGTTTAATGCTTTGATCCTTGCTATTTGATATCAGGTAACGGTCATCCTTCTTCCTCAAAACACAAAATTTTTAAAATTATTTTAATATAAAAAAAGAAAAAAAAATGACATAAATTACAAAAACAACTATTTATCCCTGAATATATTAAAATCTTGTCATTTTAAAAGCCCAACCCGTTCGCATGCAGATTTCTAACCAAAAATATATATGGCTAATATTTTTGTTAAATTAATCATGCCTATAATATTTCCATGGTATTGTATAATATTTGAAGAACTATTCCTAAAAAGAAGCCAATTAATTAGTTAGATATTATGATCAAGTGATGAGCAGTTTAAAAATAATCAATATAAAGTTCAGAATATTATATTTTAATCCATTTATATTTTTAATTCTAAAATAATATAATAATTGAACATATACTTTGCTATCCAAAAATGTTATTCCGTTGGAATGTCCGGCCCACACACCTACGGGTTGGGGATTTGATTCATTAAGGTTTCTGCGATCCCATACCTGAGCATCCACCGGATTTACAAATAAGTTGAAAATGATTTATCTAATTAAAGGTTAAATCTCCAAAAGTGATAAACTTATAGGTCATAATCATAATAGAGGTCAGAGTCCTGCAAGGGATGCCCGTCAACCCATTTTTAACTTCACCAGTAAAATATAGGACAGGCCTACGGCCAGAAAAAAACATTAATGTTATATTTACCTCATCTTCTTCCGTTTTTTGCCTGACTGAATATCACAATTAAGGCATTTAAAAAATAAGAAAAGTTTTAAAAATATTAGGTGGAAAATATTTACTATTCACATCATATTTTGTATCAAAGCAGATAAACAACATTAAATTATCATATAAGGAAGTATTTAAATTTAACTTAACATTAAAAAATAGAGAAGAAAATAAATATTTTGAGTTTTCTTCCTTGTGTCTTCTTTTTTTAAATTGGGGCCACAGGCCGTAACGTATCACAAGTCTAGATCGAAAAAATAATCTTTTACAGGTTTCTAATAATAGGGATAATATTGTCTAAAATAATTAATGAAGATCACGTCCGCTCTTTGGTCTGGACATTACCAATACATACGTACCGAATCACGATCAAATAAAAGTCTAGTCCAGACCGCGGTCATATAGGTCCTTTAATTTTTTATATTTTTGTTTTTCGCTAATTTAATTCTTGATTTATCATTTAATTATATATAAAAGTATTTTATATTAACTATCAAATCAAATGTTATTTAATTTAAAAGTAAAATGTGTATTTGATAAACTTTTCATTCATAGTATATTGCAAAATAAAAATGAACTAAATAAAAGAATCACAGAAACTAAAGTAACTACTCTAAAAAAAAGTAATATAAAATAAATTATACAGAAAAATTTACTAAAAAATTATATGAATTAAATAGTGAAGCAAACTCTAATATCGGTCCGGACCACGGCCCGAACTAAAAAAATCGAAAGAATTTTTGGATAGCGATCCTGGGGAAGAAACCGGTCCAATCCAATCTAAGACCGTTAGGACCGGGCCGTTGGCCTTCACTAAAAATGATCATAAAATATCGATTAACTTTTTTTTCTTTGATCATAATTTACAAAATTAAATTTTTTTAGATTAACTACGTGAATTATTTTTAAAATAGGTGCAGCATCGCTAGCTTTTATCATTTCGGGGGAGGGGGGGGCTAAAAAATTATTTTTACGATTAGGAGTAATCAAAAAAAGGTGCTTCCCTGAGGATGAATTTTCTAGGCGTTCTTTAAATTTTAGGGTTAAGCACCCGACCCCAGAAAAGCTGCTGATTTAAAATAATCAACAAAAATGCTATAAAAAAATTAAACCTTGACTAAACCATCGTCTCCCCCAGATAATAAGATGTCTGAAGCGTTCAAAAATGCTACAGCATTTACATCGTGTTCGTGTCCTCTAATCTGAAAAAAATGAAGAATATAAAATATAATTGGCCGGCCATTTTAAGATTGGGATTTTTACGGGATAAACTAATTATTTATTTTCTTTTAGATCGCGAGGTAAAAAAAATAAATAGGCACGTAATAGTAATTCTTTCCACTATTAAAGTAGCGGCACCCAGGGCTGTGAACCCTCCTTTAAAAAAAGAATTCTGGTTTGGGTTCTAGTTCAGTAAAATATCTCTGAACCAGGTTCGGGTTCAGGGTTCGTGGTCCAGAAAAAGACTTAAATTTAGAAAAAACAGCAACATACGTTTTTTATAAACTTTATTTAACTATATTTAGGCCTTACCATAAGAATAATTTATCATTAGAATTAGAATATAAGCGAATTATCATGATATCTTCCAAAATCGAATTAATTAAAATATCGATTTTTTATGCTTAACTTTGACAGTGAATTGCAACTTGTAATTAATAAAGATATTTTACCTTGTGATTATGTGCTTTTCTTTGGCCTTATTTTTAATTTAATAATCTAACAAACAAAAACAAACATTTAAAATATATATTATTATCTATTGTTAGACCTGTGCGCCGACGAAACTATCGGCGGCCGGCGCAATTTTCAAAAATCTAATCGACGCCTGGCGGCGCGCCGATTTTTAGCTGCCGTCAATAAAATCGGCGTAAATCGGCGCAGTTATAAATTTTTATAACATAAATTTTTTTAATTGCTTATTAATTTTTAAAAAAAAAACAAATAAATATACACTATTCTACAGATATCTCGGCATATTTTTTTAATATTCATTTAGTAGAAAACTTATATCCAAAATCGACTTCGTAATCTTATAATATCATGTATAAAAATTATTTTATTTAAATTTTCGGGACATAACGATGATCTCCTTGAATTTAACGTCAATCCAGCGGTAGAGAAAACTCTTTCACTAGGTGTGCTACTCGCCGGAATGCAAAGAATTTTTTGGCGAGCCTGGAAAGATTGGGAAGTTCACTCTTCTTTTCTCTCCAAAAATTTAGAACGTCCATATCTTGAGAATGTCGTTCTCCAAAAAAACTGTAGAATTCTTGTTCTAAGTCACCTAACTTGGCTTCATAATTTATATTTATTGAATATTTATTTGCCAATTTTGTCAAATAACTTGAATTTAATAATTCATCTTCATCCTCATTAGCTATATTTGCTACCTGATTATCATCATTCTCTATAAGTTTAAGATGTTTTATTGTAAATTCTGAAGCTGAGCAATTTTGCTCTATTAAATACTTTAACACAATTGAATTTTTAAAATCTTGGATCTAAAAGAGAAGCCAATACCTAGATAATTTTAAATAAAAAATAAAAGAATATACTTATATAATATTACTCGCAGATTACAAACCGGAAATCGTTTTTTTAGTATATTTTCCTTAAGTGAAATAATTTCAGAACTATCACTATCATTTACTATTAAATGTGTTTCAATTTCACTTCTAAAAAGTAACGCCAAGTTTAAAGTAGGCCCTTTTTGTACTGAAAGAAATTCGACAGTTTCTTTAAATTTTGAAAGAAATGCTAATAGTTCTTCCACCAGATCAGTATCATTATTTGAGAAAGTGCTTCCAATTCTTTTCAAAACATTATTAATTAAATCCTTATTTAATCCAGATATGCTTTCTAGCCCAACGTGTTGGGCTTGGGACTAATTTTAAGGTTTTCATATACGTGGAATTATTGTTATTATTATTATCATTGGAATTGCCAATTTAAAAACGGTCAAGATCTAACATGTCTGATGTTAAATCTATTGTACTTAGACATTTTCTTTGATATTCCTCGAATTCAAATTCAACCTCTGCAGTTTTATATCTTAGAGCAGTAATATTTTCTCTAATTCTTTTGCAAAAAATTTCCAGACTATGGATTTTCTATTATCCAGAGTTAGGATATAAAAATTATTTATAGAATTATTAAATGTAGATACATCCATTTTAAAAACATGTAAAATTATGGTAACTTTTGGAATTTTAGATTTTTGATTAATTGAATTTTATAATGAGTCAATATAATTATGATTTTAAGAGTAGAAAATAAAAATTCATCAAAATCCTGATTGGCATTAAAAAATTACAAGAGTTATGTTGACCAATTATTAGAATAAAAAGTAAAATGAAAGAAATTTCTGCGCCGGCGTGATTTTCTTAAACGGCGGCGTTTTCGGCGTAACCAAAGCCGGCCGGCGCACAGGTATTGTTAAAGAAAAGACGCAAAATAATTTTTACCAAAAATGTTCTTATATTGAAAATAAAAAAATTATGTTATGTTTTAAATAATTTGCATGTATTTTACATTTAATCTTAATATAGTTTTATTTATGTTATTTTTTAAGATAAATAAAAATTTAATATTAAAAAAAAAGTTATTGAACCCTAAACTCTATTTTAAAATGGGTCCGGGTTTGGGTTTAGTAAAATATTTAGGATTCGAAGAGTTCAGGGTTTGGGTTTACAGTCCTGGCGGGACCAAGTGAGTTTATTTTCAAATGTCTTATAAACATGTAAGAGAAGGTTAGGGTTAAATGAATGCGCGAAGCAATTTTATGATATTAAAGTGCTCTTTCATTTTACCCATTTATCTTCTTTTATTGTAAAGCGATAGTTGGCATCTAAATACATGGGAATAATTTCATTTCAAAATAAATTAAATTAAAATATAATTTATTTTTTCGTCATTACCAAGAGCGTTTTTTTGTTGATTTCTTTATCGTATATATGGATGCCACCATTAGTAGATCTTATATGAGTTTGTTAATATTTTAAATAATTTATTCCCTCATCATAATTATAAATAAAAAACCAGAATAAATCTATCAAGTGTATTACATTAAAATATAGCAATTCTGGATTCCATCTAACTCTCTTAAACCCGGTTGTAAATGTTAAGTTTAGGATATTCGATTAATCAAATACTATAGTCAAATTAATGTACTATTTAGTTTATATGATTATAATATAATATAAAATATATTATATTCATTAATTTATAATATTTTATTATGCTATAATTAAATTTTATGTTGAATTCCATATCAAATTTACTGAAAAACTAACCCGATCCTCTTGGATTGTTTTTAAAAATTTGTATTATGATGGTATATTATATACAGTAATTAATAGGGCTGTGCCGATCCACAAATATTTCACTGCCTCGATCCGGTATTTGTAAACAATCAAGATCACGATATTTATATTTATATTATTCTTATTTATATTTATCATCTGTCTTTGAACCAATGTAATAAAAATATCAATATTTTCTATTTTTAAAAAAATTCAGCTAACTTTCACAAATGATTAAGTGAATTTTTTTTTATTCTCCAAAAGTTAATAATCTCATTTAAAATATTTGCAATGTTTATGGGTGAATGTTGCTGAAGATATTTTCTAATATTTAATTTTCGGTCCTGGGTTGGGCTACTTCTTACACCCCGACCCGAGAAAAAAGTCTTCAATGTCCGTGCCTGACCCGAGTCTTTTGGTCAGCCCGTACAGGGTTCTAGTTGCAGATAGTATAACAAAAATAAGTATACAATATTTAAATATTTTTTAAACATTATAATAAATAAATTGTATTTTATGAAATTATTTGTAAAATAAAAAAAATTATATAATTATATATACAATCATAAAATAACCAAAAACAATCGAATTAGCAAAATATTGGTGCCGATCCTATATTTAATATCGGCACAGCCCTAGTAATTAATAAAAATATAAAATTTTAATTTTCCTTACTTCCTAAAAATGGAAAAATGCACTCCAATTAATTATATATCAAAAAATAGTTAAGTTAAAAAAATTATTGAAATTTTATTATATAACTCTAATATCACTTAAAATGAGAAAAATTTTAATAGCAAAAAACAGCCTATTACCAAAAACTAGAAATAACCATAAGAGAAAGTCTCTTTTTTTTAATGAATGGATACCATAATGCATTATATTTGTTTAAAACATAGATTGGAAAAAGCGCTAGTCCATGAGTTATCACATTTTAAAAATTAATCAGAAAGTCCTACATTAATATAATTTAAATTGAGAATTTATAGTGATTTTTAATTATTTTTTTGCACAAAGAAATAGGTGGGTGAACAATGTCATAGTGGACAATATGGTACATCAAAATTTTTTATATTATACAAATATCGGTAGGAAATTTTATATTATAATAAATGAATAACATATATTAAATTATCTATAGAATATGAGTAAAATTTCATATTTTGTCCAATGAAAATAAAAGCATGAAATTTCGTGTTCCAAGAATTCGATTTGCTGTTAAAAATCTATTTTTGAGATGTGTTTTCAACTTAAAAATTCAATGTCGCTGAGAAATAACATTTTAATCCATGTGATATTATTTCTTGTATAATATTCATATATATTAATATTTAATTTTTTACGGGTTTGCAGGCTTGCTTTAGATGTAAAAGGGCTTAGTAATGTCTTCTAAACTACCTCAAGGAGTTGTCATGCATTTGCGAAGAAATTACATTCAGCCTGGATACCAAAACCATTCTCATGGTTATCGAGATTTATAAATATATTTTTAATCTTCCTATACTGAGCAACAGCTCCATCGAAAACATAAAAACCTAATCAAATCAATTTTTCAAAAATAGAATCAATTTTGATTGAAATAAATAAATAAAATACAAGTGTTGTGTTTTAGATAATCCTATATAATTAAATAACTTACACGTTCGAGATATCGTTTTCATAAGTAATAAATCATAATGAATGAAGTTTCATTTGATTATTAGTCCTTGAAACCCCGAGCTTGATCTAGAATTTAAAAACGTAATTCTTCGCAAAGTCTGATATTATTAAAAATTCCCTACCAAACCAATTAGATTTATTTTAGAGTTAATAAATAAATATCAGTGTGAAAAAATAAATGAGGGAAGAATTAAATATTCTATAAAATCGTTGGAAGATTTTGTGATTGGTAAGAATCTAAAGCCAACCCCACTGTTAAGTTATAGGATCAATAGCATTGAAATCAAACAGAAAGTCTTTCTTTAGGTTCCGAAGTTCCAGAATAAATTTCAGATTTCATTAAATAACAGCAAGGTGGCTGGGATGAATTACAAAGATTTAGGGTTTATATTAGAAATCTAAAATACCCGTCCCGGTTCCCAGCCCATCTGAATAAAATCTATTTGTGCCAGGCCGAAAATAAAAATTAACGGGCCGAGTTCTATTGAGTTATTGGGCAAAAAAAGTGGCTAAAGACCATCTTAAAAAATTATGGCATATGCATCACTCTATTTTACAAAATATTGAAGGATACTAAAGCATATATTAGTTGTAGTGATAATAATGATAACACCGTTGATAACTTTGAAAACTTACGTTCAGATAGGAGAAAAAAAATCATCATATAAAAAGGAATAACCACAAATTTCTATTACATCTTTAATCGAAAAATTCTCATAAGTTAAGGAATAAATAAGGATGCAAGTATTTTAAAATTCTAGGAAGAAAATTTTTCAATATATCCAGAACTAGATATCCTATATCTAGAATAGCTATGGTGTACCAGCGAAACAAGTACAATAATTTTTAATGCATTATAAAGATAGCTATTTATTTTAGGTCAGCGTAGAAAGTGTTTTTTTCTTCTTTGAAATACATATTGTCAGATTTGCGTGGAATTCTCAAAAGTATTTTAGAAGATGTTATAATTGTGCGATTAAATAAAACATTTAAAATAGAAATAAATTTTCAATTTTTTACTGGTAAATTATGTGTATGTATTTATATGGAGTATAAAAAAAATTTATGTTATTTTGAGTAATATTTCTTTATAATTTCCAAACCCTGAACCCCTACCCTTTTTAAAATTTTAATCCTGAAACCGGACCCTTTTTTGTCAAAGTGTTCATATCCCTGAATATAAGGCAATATAATGTCCGTCTATAAAAAAAATCGAAAGAAAAAAAGCAGTTTTCTTTTTATGGTAATTTCCGGTTTATAAGGGCTAATTTAAAATTTAATAGTGTATTTTGAAATTTGAGTTTGTGAAGTTGGGAATATCTCAAGAAGTAAGTTGAATTGGTTAAAATATTTCTTTCTTTCTTTATATTTTTATTAATTAGTGTATACTAACATCATAAAAAATTTTTAACAATTGAAGGGGTAAAGTTAAGATAGTCTTTATGGTTGATTTAATATGAAATATAACAAATATAAACATTTTCGTGAAAGTATTTCACCTTGAACGATTGCCAACCAGAAAATATACTTTATTGATTGAGGCATATTTACCTTCACTAACCAGCAAAAAAAAATACATGTTCCTATATACCCGCCTATAATTTCGGACCCGTTGGGAGAATATGATAGCGAAAATATGCAGAAATGGTTTTCGTCGGGCTCTTGTCTTGTGTCAAATGGTTCAAAAAATTGCAAAGCATTGTGGTTTAAAAGAGAAGGTTTTGTCAAAACATTTTCGGTTAGATCAAAGATATCACATTCGTGGACTTATAAATAATTAAAATTATATTTATGGATTATGATGAGCTCTAAATATTCCTTATTTTATCATAAAAAATATCAATTAGTAAATTTACACAGAACCCCCTATAAAGAAACGTTTCAAAATGGAGCTATTGTATCTTTTTTAATAAATATTATCTACCTGTCAATTTAATTGAATTTTAAAAAATTATCATAGCAGATAATATCATCATTGTATATATATGATCAAACCATAGGCGTAGCCAAGATTTTCCTAAGTGGTGTGGGAATTAATAAATTTTTGGGGGATTCGCCCTCATACCCTCTTTTGGGAGGCATTCGCCCCGTTTTTACCGGGTTTTCAGTCGAGCTTCTGTAATCTATATACAGCTAGAAATAATTTTTGTAGGATCTGATGTTAATTTTAATAAAAACAACATATAATCATTATTTATAAAAAATTTAAATTTATATACAATATTATGTAATAATCTTAAGGACACATTAATGGTAATTATATAAAATTGCACCTTTTTCTTAAGACTTACCTTTGGCTTATCTTCATCACATTTTTGGTTTATGGCCTTTTTATATATAAATGCCATTTTCCAAAAAAAATATGAATCATAGTCATTTGGGAGACAGGGGGTGGAAAGGGGATAAGGAGGATATTAATTTTCCCTTGCCCCTATTGGCTACGCCATGGATCAAACTTTGTGGGTAGGGATGGATGCTGTCACAAACAAGATTAAAGTCTCTAAGATGCATCTGGTCCAAGTTTAGTGCCCTTTGAACAAGCCCCGTCTTTAAAATAGACCATAATGATGGAATATCAAGAAAATAAAATAATTATTCATCTTTTGAAAATAAAAATCATTAAGCTTATGGAAATCGAAGAAGAAATAGCAGGCGATCATTTTAAAAAATGGGGAAGTCATAAATTCATATGAAACTATCATTGTGACTGTCTTAATATTTTTATGAAATATAACATTGTGAATTATTAAAATGTCCTTATTTTCTTTCACCTAAAATAAATGTAATTTCATATATTCTTTATAAAAAATAATAAGAATATATAAATGAAAGATAGCATATTATGAATTTAAAAATAATTTCTATTAGAAAAATTATTGGGAAGGAAATGTTTGCCATCCAAAGTATAGCAAAAAAATAAAGACATGACACAGATTTACATTTGATCATCATTATAATTGTATACAATTAAATTGGTCTAATTACATTATTTTATTTGTAATTAAAAATATTTTATGAATGAGAAGTAAGAAAGAGGTTGTCCTAGCTAGCTTTTAGGTCATTTAGGCATAAGAAGATTTTCAAAATTTTAATATTATTTCATTATTTTTCAATCAAGATTATTTAAAAAATATAGCCTTTTCTTACTAAGTTGGAAGAGACTGAGAAAACAATAATTGTGAACAGCCTCTAAGAAACTGTATAAAAGGTTTGAAAAACTAAAAAGTTACAACATTCACTTTGAAATACATTATAATCAGAGTTAATACAATATTTAAATATTTTATGGAGTTTTAAAAGATCTTAAAGGTTTAGGTATAGGTTAACCTAAATGATTAAATTTATAATGTAGTATGTAAAAAATTGTTTTCCATCATCAATCTAGTAAAATTTGCTTTTAGACTCTTAGTCCAGACCTACAATTATGATTTTAAAAATCATGCTATTTATTATTCTATATGACTGCATTATATTAAATATATGTTTTTTATTAACTTACCATATTTAGACCAAGATGAATATATAAACTTTGTTCCAAGTGGATTTATAGCAATATCCAAAATACTCCAACCAACATCATGGGCAGAATATTCGATTAGGGGTTGGATGCCATTATTTAAAAAAGTTTTTTGTAAATCTCTATTTAATTTTAAGTCCATGACATTGTTTAATACATTTGATTTAATGCAACAATTTTTAAGATCATATAATCTAATTTTATCATCTTAAATTAAAATATAGACAATTTAGCAAACATATGCATACCTTGTGCTGAAGTTAATAATAAGTTGCCACATGTATTTAAAATAGAACAAAACGCTTTACTATTATATCTCTGCAGTATTCGACTCGAATTTGGAATAAATCTATATAATATTTAAAAAATTGTTTCAATTTTTATTAAAACCTTGAACAAATAGTGCATATATCCTTTAAAGAAAATCCTTCACAATCATTATGATTTATTTTTCGCTTTTATTAAATATAATATTGAAGCATGAGTATTCTAACTTTCTCAATGATTCTCATCATCATCCATATTCATTTCTTAATCTTCGCATGGATATAAAATTTTATCAGCTGTTTTATTCGAATATAGAACGTAAGCTAAAGGGTGGCGTTTCAAGAATTAAAAGTTATTGCTTGAAATTCCAATCAGTTTCTCCGCTGAATATGGATATAGATTCTTCAAATATGAACTGTATGCCTAGAACTAACTTTTATGAAATTATAAGTTAACATGTAACAAATCAAATTAAATTTTGAATGAATTAATTATAAAGGAACATAGAGAATATAGTGTTGTTAAAAATCTCCTATCCGGAATTACATAAATGGTTTAACATTTTAAATAATATATTGAAAGCCTGGAGATTTAAGATGGCAGTAAGATTTGTTCATCTATTCAAATCTCGAAGCTTAAATAATTATATTTTGGATAAATTTTATTCGGGCCGTTTTTAAAAATCACCCAAATCGGGGTTTTTAAAGACACTCCTAGAGAAATTAAATATATCAAATTCTATGCATTTGGATATTATAAACCTTAAGTAATTTCTTTATATAAAACCAATGTATATCATTGTATAAAACAAAAAGCACCTCAGCATTAATCTCACGTGAACTAAGTTGTAAACGATTACTTTAATACGCTATAAATTAAATGTAACTTTTTCAGATCCTTACTAAATATATTTATTTTCTTTTAAAAAGTGAAAGTTGCTTCGAATTCCAAAGATGTCAGAAAAGCGGTCAGGAGCTCTATAATTATGAAGACATTTGCAATCTAGGTCTAGAGGAAGACACCATTATGCCAAGTGACATCAAGGGTGTGATGAAAGTTGAAGCCATTCATTTGACTGAGTCACCTGGAAAAATACAAGAGGTTAATCACATGGGCAGAATCAAAAATAGTTAAGTAATAACAAAACCCATTCAGGACTCTCACGCACATGGTAAATCTCTTATCAAGCAACCCCAGTCATCAATGACAATCGCCCCGGACAACATTTTGATGAACGTTAAGATGTATGCAGTGACTATTGCCGCTGTAACGTGATATTTTAACTTAAATTTAAATTAACTCCCTTTAGTAATACTGACATTTATGATTGACGTTATAATAAAATAACATTATAAAATTTAGTGTGATATTTTAACTTAATTTAAATTAACTCCCTTTAGTAATACTGACATTTATGACTGACATGTAATGTTAAAAGTTTTTATTATTTAGTAATACTGACATTTATGACTGACATGATATGTTAAAAGTTTCTATTATTTAGTAATACTGACATTTATGACTGACAAGATATGTTAAAAGTTTCAATTATTTAGTAATACTGACATTTATGACTGACATAATATGTTAAAAGTTTCTATTATTTAGTAATACTGACATTTATGACTGACATGATATGTTAAAAGTTTCTATTATTTAGTAATACTGACATTTATGACTGACATAATATGTTAAAAGTTTCTATTATTTAGTAATACTGACATTTATGATATGATAGTAATACTGACATTTATGACTTTATATTGCAATATTAAGACTTATGACTGACAGGTGATGCTTAAAGTTTATATGTTTAGCATATTGACTCTTATGAGTGATAAATAATTAAAATTTTCTAATATTAAAATTTATAAGATAGATAATATTTTAATTTCTGATATACCTATAAATAATTTAACTTCGAAAACGTCATAGCTTAATTTTTAAAAAGTTTGATTGAAATCTATATACACATGGTAGGTTAATTTATTCATATTTAAACATAAATTACATATCATTGATCAAATGATTCAATATCGTACTTTTTATAAAAATATCTTTTAATAAAAAATATAAAAAGCTATATAATATAAAGCAATTGAATAGAACTTAACTCATCAAAAAGATGGCTAACTATTGTTTTTTTATAAAAAAAACTATTAATAAAAAATATAATGCAATAAATATATTGTATAAATTCGCAATTGAATAACATTTAAGAAAAAGATGAAGTATTAAAAAAAATATATAATGCAATAAATATAATTTAAATTTGCAATTGAATAGATTTCAACTTATAAAAAGGATGTCAAACTATTGTACTATAAAAATAACTATTAATAAAAATATAGAGTACAATGACATTTAACAAAAAGATACTTACCAATTATCATCTTTCAACTAAATTGGAATTAATATAAAAAAATATAAATTGCAATAAATATAATTTAAATTTGCAATTGAATAGAATTAAACTTATAAAAATGATGTCAAACTATTGTACTTTTTATAAAATATACTATTAATAAAAATATGAGTACAATAAAATTTAACAAAAAGATACTTACCGATTATCATCTTTCAACTAAATTGCAATAAATATAATGGAATAAAAATATTAGAACAGATAATCACATTGATATAATTCTAACAAAATGATTGTTATTTACATTGCATAAATAAATATTTTCTTTAAATATTTTAATATTATTAAAAAATTTCATGGGCGAATAATAAGCCCATTTATATTGGGTATAGATTAATATATTTGTCTGTAACAATGTGGCCATAGATAATATTTCTACCTCTGTTGCCCAGACACCGTTTCCCATAACATTTCTGTTAACTAGGTATTCCTCTACAGGATATTCTATAAATTTTCCCATTTCCAATTTGAAATCTTCGCTCCTCATAAAAAGAATGCATTCTTCCCTAAGGTAATTATAATTTTCCTGGCTATTTGATATCTCTTGACTTATACACCTAAAATAGGTAAATAATTTAAATATTATATATAGATTCTAACCTAAAAAAAGAGTTCCCATCACCCACAATATGATCGGTTGTGAAAATCTCTTTTAATATACCACATTTTATCTTGGGATAACGTCCATTTACTTTGAAATTGAACCGTTTAGAGTGATATACCTTCGAGTTCCTTGTTGTGGGCAGAAAAAGTTCACCAATTTTCTTTGGTATTATTGCTTCCACAATAATTTGGTCATCTAAATTTGATAATTAAATAATAACATATTTTTAAAAAATATTACTACCCTGATCTTGTACGCCTATATATCCTTCCTCTCTCACTATACTTTTAATAGCTATTATTGGATCTTCACCAAAAGTATCTATATCCAAAAAAATATATTAAATAATTTTATATATTATACCCTTTCTCTTGACACGTTTTATTTTAGTATCCTCCTTTTTAAATTCCAAAGAATTTTAGATTTATCAAAAATATAATTTTTCCAATTTTTAAAAAATAAAACTTTCTCCTGAAACTTTTATTCCACAGGACATTTCTTCAAATAGTGCTTCTTCTAATGAAAATATAATAATTAAAAATATATTTTCCTTTTTCCCAAATGCATTTGTTTACCTTCTCCTTCTCCAACTATAGTTTTAAGAAGCCTACAAACTTAATTATTTGTTCAATATTATTTTATGAATAAACTGATATTACCTTGATCTTGAACACCCTCTATAGTTTCACAATGTGCAATATTTTTGACTGTATCTTTACCATTAAAAAAAGTTATATTCATATATTTAAAAAATAATACCTTTGTTACCCTCTATATAGTGCTTTAAATTACTTATATTAGCCTTAGTATGTAAAATTTTTCCTATTGAAGAGGATAATTCTACATTGCCTAAATATGTATAAATATTTTGTTAAAAATAATAAATTTACTATTAACAATTTTAACAATTATATAAGGACCTACCCAAGGCTGCAACATTTTCCCTCCTTTCCTGTCAGCCCTTGATTATTCCATACAAGCACTTTATCATTTATGTGATAAAGTGCATTCTTAGCAGCATTACGAGTTTTATAATCTCGTTGCTGCTTAAGCTGAGCCTTTATAATATTTTTTGTTGCAGTCTTGAATATGCCTTTCATATTGTCTGCCCTTCTTTGGAAATTGCAGTCATAATCTGTATCATAAAGATCGTCAAGATCTGTTTCTGGTTCTCTATGATCCTTAAATAATAAAAATTTATTACGTATAATAATTTTATACAAATAATGATATATATATATCATACCGCAGTAAAGCTTTCCTGCCATACATCATCTCATATGGCGTAAATTTTGAGGATTCATGCCTTGATGTATTGTAGGCAAATACAATACCAGGTAGAACTCCAGGCCAATCTTTCTGATTGCCTTTTGTACACTTCAAAAGGGAATTTTGAAGAGTACGATTGGCTCGCTCTACCATGCCATTAGCCTGAGGATGGTAAGATTATGTTAAAGTACATTTTAAAAGTGTTACAAGCTTTTTGGGTGATATCAGGCTAAATTTAAGCAATATTTTAAAACAATATTCTATTAATTGAAATAGAATTTTAAATTGAGTACTGTATCCTAGCTTATAAGAGCAATATTTACCTGATTATATTAAAGTACATTTTAAAAGTGTTGCAAGCTTTTTGGGTGATATCAGGCTAAATTTAAGCAATATTTTAAAACAATATTCTATTAATTGAAAGAGAATTTTAAATTGAGTACTGTATCCTAGCTTATAAGAGCAATATTTACCTGATTATGTTAAAGTACATTTTAAAAGTGTTGCAAGCTTTTTGGGTGATATCAGACTAAATTTAAGCAATATTTTAAAACAATATTCTATTAATTGAAAGAGAATTTTACTTTGAGTACTGTATCCTAGCTTATAAGAGCAATATATACCTGATTATGTTAAAGTACATTTTAAAAGTGTGACAAGCTTTTTGGGTGATATCAGGCTAAATTTAAGAAATATTTTAAAACAATATTCTATTAATTGAAAGAGAATTTTAAATTGAGTACTGTATCCTAGCTTATAAGAGCAATATATACCTGATTATGTTAAAGTACATTTTAAAAGTGTGACAAGCTTTTTGGGTGATATCAGGCTAAATTTAAGCAATATTTTAAAACAATATTCTGTTAATTGAAAGAGAATTTTAAATTGAGTAGTAAATATACCTTTCAACTAGTTTATCATATGTCTTGTTGATTCCAAAGTGACCTGATAATGACATTTCTGTGAGATTTGTCTCACATCCTCCATGGAATGATACTAAA